ATATATAATATAATATATAATAAAATAATAATATATTTGTCTATCTGTTTTTATTATTATTTATTTTATGTATTATTATTATACATATATCATTATATATTTTTTAATCTGTTTAATCTATGTCTGATTGATTGATTGATTGATTGATAATACTTCTACAGTTTTTGAACAAACCCATGTGAGCAATTTTCCCACCATTTGTTTTTATATTTTGACTTTAAATGCACTTTAAGCTGCTGCTTTGGCCCTGCCATTGTGCCCCGTGTTTGAAATGTGAGTTTTGTTCGATTTGAGATTAAGAAAGAAAGCGAGAAAAGTGCAGCCCTGTTGGCCAGATCGACAGTGACATGCGAGTGAATCACTGGAATAAAAGAGTTTCATTAAGACAGTGTCCTTTGACCCTTTGTTGCCTGCCTGGTGGTTTACCATGGAAAGTTGCCATGAGCACCAGTCTGTCCAAAGCTCAAACTTCAGCTCGGACGTTCTGAAAAAACAGCTTTTTACATAGTCGATGGGTAAAAGCTTAACTGTTGAGCCACACTGCCTGAAGAAGTAAGTGAGTCATTTAACCTTTTTTATGTCTTTAGCAACATATTAATCACAGACTGTGATGAATTAAGTAAGTCTGTGAGTTTTTAATTCTTGCAAGTCTGCGAAAAGATCCTCAGGTGTCAAATGTCAGCCAGAATGTAGGCGATTAGTTTGAATATAATTATTTTTATAATTGTGCATCTTTGCTCCCTATAACAGCTTCATTTCCAGTCTGCCAGTCTGTATAAAACCTCTCCTGCCATGTAGTTGCTTGTTTTGTAAACCTTGATCTGGTTATGTTTAGCTCTTACAGTTCAGTTTTCATGGACACAATAACATTTTCATTGAGCGTATCAGTGGATCTAGCTGACGGCATTCATCCACAGTCGCTCACAACAAATGTAACCGCAGAGTAATCGAAACAGAACAAGATATTCCTGCAGGATTGTGGTATGAAGGGTTTTATTGTGTTGATAATGTGTGAGTGTTTTTGAATGCTGGCTAACTGGACAATCTTCTATGCCAGACTGAGGTCTGTTAAGGTTAAATGCCTCTGCAGCAACAAATATAAACAATGTAATTAAGTTAAATTAAACTTTATACAACCAAATGTTAATTGACCTCGGCCTCTTGTAGCCTGCAGTTCTGCCTCTTTCATGGTGGTTTGACAAATGTGGACCCACATTACAGTTATTGGAGGACTGGAGGATTATTGGATTGGAAGTTGGACAGAGTCCATTCCAGTCACTGCTGTCAGCAGCCAGTAGATAAAATCACTGTGTGGTGTTTGAATCTGTACTAACTAAATTTACTTCTTTCTCTGCCACTAGGGGGCCACTTTAACCCCACAACAGGCTGACAGACACACAGTTATTCACTGTGTATAACTGGTGGGATTCCAAGTCTGTGAAGTGAAGACAGTGTCTTAAACCTGTACTCTTTCTAATGGCCAGCAGGGGGCAGCTCCATGGGTTGCAGAGAAGAAGTCCGATTGAGTCTTTTGGAGAGATGACCCAACTTCTTACTTGATTTATGAGCTCTGTA